CTTAGGGCATAAACTTTCATTTTAAATAGTTACTATCGGTCTGTAAGCGGCACGTAGGGCAACTCGATCGTGCAGGGAAACAGATTTTATACGCTTGGGGCAGTTCATATAACTTTCAAACGGTCTTCAAGCGGCACTTAGGGCATAAACTTTCATTTTAAATAGTTACTATCGGTCTGTAAGCGGCACGTAGGGCAATAGGGCAACTCGATCGGGCAGGGAAACAGATTTTTGTACGCTTGGGGCAGTTCTTATATTTTTTAAACGGTCTTCAAGCGGCACTTAGGGCATGAACTGTCTTCTAGATATAGATATTATTGGTTTGTAAGCGGCACGTAGGGCAACTCGACGTGCAGGGAAACAGATTTCTATACGCTTGGGGCAGTTCTTATAACTTTCAAACGGTCTTCAAGCGGCACTTAGGGCATAAATTTTCATTTTAAATAATTACTATCGGTCTGTAAGCGGCACGTAGGGCAATAGGGCAACTCGATCGTGCAGGGAAACAGATTTTTGTACGCTTGGGGCAGTTCTTATATTTTTTAAACGGTCTTCAAGCGGCACTTAGGGCATGAACTGTCTTCTAGATATAGATATTATTGGTTTGTAAGCGGCACGTAGGGCAACTCGATCGGGCAGGGAAACAGATTTTATACGCTTGGGGCAGTTCTTATAATTTTTGAACGGTCTTCAAGCGGCACTTAGGGCATAAACTTTCATTTTTAATAGTCAGCAACCGATCGTGCAGGGAAACAGATTTCTATACGCTTGGGGCAGTTCTTTTAACTTTTAAACGGTCTTCAAGCGGCGCTTAGGGCATGAATTTTCATTTTAAATAATTACTATCGGTCTGTAAGCGGCACGTAGGGCAATAGGGCAACTCGATCGGGCAGGAAAACAGATTTTTGTACGCTTGGGGCAGTTCTTATATTTTTTAAACGGTCTTCAAGCGGCACTTAGGGCATGAACTGTCTTCTAGATATAGATATTATTGGTTTGTAAGCGGCACGTAGGGCAACTCGATCGGGCAGGGAAACAGATTTTATACGCTTGGGGCAGTTCTTATAATTTTTGAACGGTCTTCAAGCGGCACTTAGGGCATAAACTTTCATTTTAAATAGTCAGCAACCGATCGTGCAGGGAAACAGATTTCTATACGCTTGGGGCAGTTCTTTTAACTTTTAAACGGTCTTCAAGCGGCGCTTAGGGCATAAATTTTCATTTTAAATAATTACATCGGTCTGTAAGCGGCACGTAGGGCAATAGGGCAACTCGATCGGGCAGGGAAACAGATTTCTATACGCTTGGGGCAGTTCTTATAACTTTCAAACGGTCTTCAAGCGGCACTTAGGGCATAAATTTTCATTTTAAATAATTACTATCGGTCTGTAAGCGGCACGTAGGGCAATAGGGCAACTCGATCGTGCAGGGAAACAGATTTCTATACGCTTGGGGCAGTTCTTATAACTTTTAAACGGTCTTCAAGCGGCACTTAGGGCATAAATTTTCATTTTAAATAGTTACTATCGGTCTGTAAGCGGCACGTAGGGCAACTCGATCGTGCAGGGAAACAGATTTTCTACGCTTGGGGCAGTTCTTATAATTTTTGAACGGTCTTCAAGCGGCACTTAGGGCATAAACTTTCATTTTTAATAGTCAGCAACCGATCGTGCAGGGAAACAGATTTCTATACGCTTGGGGCAGTTCTTTTAACTTTTAAACGGTCTTCAAGCGGCGCTTAGGGCATGAATTTTCATTTTAAATAATTACTATCGGTCTGTAAGCGGCACGTAGGGCAATAGGGCAACTCGATCGGGCAGGAAAACAGATTTTTGTACGCTTGGGGCAGTTCTTATATTTTTTAAACGGTCTTCAAGCGGCACTTAGGGCATGAACTGTCTTCTAGATATAGATAATATTGGTTTGTAAGCGGCACGTAGGGCAACTCGATCGGGCAGGGAAACAGATTTTATACGCTTGGGGCAGTTCTTATAATTTTTGAACGGTCTTCAAGCGGCACTTAGGGCATAAACTTTCATTTTAAATAGTCAGCAACCGATCGTGCAGGGAAACAGATTTCTATACGCTTGGGGCAGTTCTTTTAACTTTTAAACGGTCTTCAAGCGGCGCTTAGGGCATAAATTTTCATTTTAAATAATTACATCGGTCTGTAAGCGGCACGTAGGGCAATAGGGCAACTCGATCGGGCAGGGAAACAGATTTCTATACGCTTGGGGCAGTTCTTATAACTTTCAAACGGTCTTCAAGCGGCACGGGCATAAATTTTCATTTTAAATAATTACTATCGGTCTGTAAGCGGCACGTAGGGCAATAGGGCAACTCGATCGTGCAGGGAAACAGATTTCTATACGCTTGGGGCAGTTCTTATAACTTTTAAACGGTATTCAAGCGGCACTTAGGGCATAAATTTTCATTTTAAATAGTTACTATCGGTCTGTAAGCGGCACGTAGGGCAACTCGATCGTGCAGGGAAACAGATTTTCTACGCTTGGGGCAGTTCTTATAATTTTTGAACGGTCTTCAAGCGGCACTTAGGGCATAAACTTTCACTTTATATAGTTAGCGACTCGATCGTGCAGGGAAACAGATTTTCATAAGCTTGGGGCATTCTTGTAAATTTTAAACGGTCTTCAAGCGGCACTTAGGGCATAAACTTTCATTTTAAATAGTTACTATCGGTCTGTAAGCGGCACGTAGGGCAACTCGATCGTGCAGGGAAACAGATTTTATACGCTTGGGGCAGTTCTTATAATTTTTGAACGGTCTTCAAGCGGCACTTAGGGCATAAACTTTCACTTTATATAGTTAGCGACTCGATCGTGCAGGGAAACAGATTTTCATAAGCTTGGGGCATTCTTGTAATTTTTAAATGGTCTTCAAGCGGCACTTAGGGCATGAACTGTTCGATATCTTTCTTATATATAAACTGGAAACATCCATCGACACGACGAAAACCATACCTTGTTCTTCCACCCTGGCGCCCCCCTTCAGCGTTGCGGAGGGAGAGTTGTTGACTGTGTGAGCACGCGAGAAATCACCCTCTCTCGCAGAGGTTAAGGACGACGAGAATTCTAGAGAAACGGTGTACTCCCATCCGCAGGCAAGCTAGAGAGGAGAGAGTTGTCTCGACATTTGTCAATTGATCGCACCCTATAGGCATGCGATGACGGCAGGTGTTTTGACTTTGCTTGCGATGACGAATTGTGATGAAATACCGTATATTCGGTTTGATCACGGCCTTCACAGCTGTAGCATACCTACTGCTTACATACACAGTTCCACTTCTTTTCACGTCCTTAGCTACATTCCTCCTTCATTCTAAAGACTCCCTTGCCCCCCCCCCCTCTCCCATTTTGCATAACAGTTTGGTAGGAAATCTGAGCATTGTAATTCTTCATTGAATAGTCGTCAGAGCTCAACATTTTGTGAAATGTTGACGAAAATCCTAATCCGAAGAGCAATTGAACAGCAAAAAGTGGGTTTTTGGCACGTTCTTTCTCTGCTGCTGACCAGTTTTTAGAGCGAAAATTTTTGTTTTTTCCCATAATTTCCACCAAAAACGGTAAAAACCTCGATTTCAAATTTCGGCCACAGAAAATGCATTTGCTCCCGGAGTGAAGACCCAACATGAGAGCTGTGGTCTCGCTGCTTGAGCTCCGGCAAACTTTCTCTGTGGCTGACCTATTTTTAGAGCGAAAATTTTTGTTTTTTCCCACAATTTCCACCAAAGACGGTAAAAACCTCGATTTCGACAAAATTTCAGCCAGAAAATGCCTTTGCTTCCGAGTGAAGACCAACATGGAAGCTGTGGTCTCGCTGGTTGAGCTCCGGCAAGCCCTTTTGTGGCTGACCTGTTTTTAGAGCGAAAATTTTTGTTTTTCTCACAAGTTCCACAAAAACCTCGATTTCGACAAAACTTCAGCCGCAGAAATTCTGTCGAAATCGAAAACACCAGCCTTCCTTTGCTCCCGGAGGAAAGACCCACCATGCATCTGCATTGGTCAGCATTTTGGGAAAGCGATTATGTTGATTTTAAGTGAGCAACGAAAGAAGCAAGTGTATCAAGTAAGTGAAATCTGGTGGTGGCATTTGGAGGGAAAGATCAGGTATTTTTTGTGTCTACCTGCAAAGTCTGATTTTTGTTTTATTTAGCTTCTCCAGAGAGGAGATGTGAACACCGTTTATAGTTAGATGCAGTCCCAAGTAAGCAAATACTAATGTATCTGCCCCGACCCACTTACAGCGGCCCGTAGGGCCGCTAGTATCAATATCATTTAGTAGTCTGTATCCCCTAGTTTTTGCAGAAGTGATTTGAGGCTGTTTTGTCTTCATATTTCTGAGTGATGACTACTGCAAAATCACTGAAAAATGGGAAGAAGAGAGTTTGGCTCGGTTTTCATTTTCAAAGTTAGCATTTTGTTTGGTGATTCTCATGTTGCGGTTTTAAGGAGTAGTGCTTTATACTGGTGTCAATTAAAACAATTATAATCATCTTTGAAAATGACCAACTCAGTTAGATGGCCTAATACCTAAATGCCTCAGAGTTTACTAAAACTCGGACTAGTAGGGTTATTTGACATGCTACTTACGGAAGTGAAAGTTACTATTAGTTAGAGTCTTTTTCTTACGCCTACTGTAGGTATACGGTAATTTAAGGGAGGGGGAGGGTTGTTGAAACACAACTTAAGAGAGAGGTCTTATTTAAAAATCGTAGTTACACTTCGTGCTCGATTATGTTTGTGAGTCGACCTAGTTGGTTAGCCTCATCGTTCCAGATAAAACTAGACTAATTTGTAGATAATGTTTATAGTCAGCATACCTATTGTAAAGGGGGACTATATGTGGCCGAAAGTGAAGATCTTGCGCTGGCATCTGCAGCACATAAGCAACTCTTGTCAAGAGAGGCGCCTCAACATAGAAGGTTGCTTCGCCAAATCATCGTACCGCATAAAATTATTTTGAAACCCCTGACATTTGGCTTATTTTTCTGGTAGTATTCGTCTATTCATTACAAGCACAGTTGCTGTTAAAGGCGCTCCAATCATATAAACGTTATCAACTTTAATCACATGGAAAGCAAATGTCGTTTTGTATTTCTCACAAACCTCTATCAATGCTTTGTGTGCAACATCGGATACTTTGAGTGGAACTTTCGTGATACCGCTCAAATCAGCATTGTCAGTAAACATCTCAGTGACACCCATCGATATGAGTGCTTTTTTCAGCTCGAATTTCGTTTCGATTTCCATTTTTGGTAATGAAATCTGAAAAGGTAATCAAGTGAAAAAAATTGTGATGCTTTCCTAACCTTCATTAGTTTAATTTTAGCTTGGTTTAACAGTCTTCGTAGTTCTGCTCCGCTGGTCTTATTTCTAATTGCATCGAGAGCAAACCTCAAACCAAATCTCGAAAAGTTCACCAAACTTTAGAGACATATTAGTATTGGAGTATTACCGTTTCTTTGGAAGCAATATACTCAATGCATAAGTGGGATCTTTATAAGGAAGCGTCAAAACTTGCATAACATCGTTTTCCGCATACATACGATATACATTGTGCTCGTGCATGAACTCTATCTGAAATTATTTTTTTGGTATTCAATAGTGGAACTAGGATCCGCAAGGCAGTACACTATGCTTTGAATAAGCGGTTCTTATCTTAAAACGTTAAAACACTTCCTTTCCTATTTAAATCAAAATGAGATAGGCGCAAATGTGTGAAAGTCGTAGCTTAACAGAGAATAATTTTTGTCACCTCTTTCTGACTATTTTCCGAACAGTGAAACGTTCCGTTTTGTGTTGAATCCTTCTCAAATTTATTCATCCACATCTTTGAAATAAATTGCATTGACAATGAGTGAAGAAGCGCCTGAATGAGTATCAAGTACATAAGTATTATAAATGAATACAAGTACATAAGTAAAGTCCAGCCATGTTCACTCACCCAAAACCATCTGTTCATTCACTAAATTTCGTATTTTTCCTTCTGTCGTATCACTCAAAAACTTGTCTATAACCTTTAAACGAATTTCCATGTCTAATTTACAACTCCACCGTGCTGTCCCACCTTAGCGGTCGCTGCTGATTGTTGGAAATCAAGTGCTTTCAATGCAGCAGAATATTTTTTCTTGATTTTGGCTTCATACTGCTTTTCAATAATGTAGCGCTTACTATAAGCAATGAATTATCATAAGTAGAAGTGGTGAAGAAAAAGTCAGTCAAAGAGTAAACCCACTCGATGTAAAAGATATTTGCAATCCTTGTTTGGACACCGTTGGTAACGTTCAAAACTTCTTGTGAAAGCCTCGAGTAAAATCTTTCTATATCAGTACTGTTTGCTCCTAAATTCACCATAGTTGAAAAAGTCGATGTGAGGTTAGCTTAATTGTAGAAAAGTTGATTACTCTGAGGTATGACATAAGAGCAACCCATGCTAGGTCCTTGCAAACTCAGTTCTTCATTGTTGTCATTTTTATTTCATAAATAATGGCCAAAGCTGTACACTAGTAGCCTTTATGGGTGTATGTCAAGAGGTGCGAAATTTTTGCCAGACGGACAGCAAGAATCTATAGTGTTCGATAACGTATCAAAGGACTATTGAGTTTCTAAGGGGATGTGCAAGATCGATGCCAGGGCTGTCAAGCTCATACCTTGAAATCGATATAAATATGAATGTTGAACGTCAAACACCCTCGAAAATGCAACTAACGGCGATTTTGTGAATACTCCGATCAATTTCTCACCAAAAATCATCAAACTTAGCAAGTGGTAATTTCAACTGGTTAGTAAGCTGGGGTACTTTATTTTTTATTTCTGAAAACTCGCATAGCTCTAAATTGGGCTTTAGTATTGCTGATCTTTGGAAAGATCGCGCCTCTTGACCGTCTCCCACTTTCAGCCACATCACCTTGAGAGATGACGCCGTTGATTTGTGCTTTGGTTCGCCCTTTGGCCCCTGACTGGACCATGGCCAGAGCTAAGATGACGGAAAGAGGAGAAACAACCGCTTGCGCATGTGCAGGCACTTGCCGAATCATCTTTAGTCCAAAGTCTAACTCCGCATCGATGAAGGATCTTAAACTTCTCTGAGACATAAGCATCGGAGCATAACTGAATATTATCAAGAACTTACTCAGTGCTTAAAGAAGTCATTCTGTAAAACGGAAGCCAGACAGCAACTCTAACAAATCTATAAGACAGTAGCAGTTTTTATGCACCGATAATTATAAAAGGCACTTGAATCGTTCTTGACTTGCAAAATTTTTAGCAAATTCTGAAACACAAACTGTAAACAAGCATTGATGTGCATTGATGTGGATAGGAGAAATCGTGCAGTCGGGAATCAATCAGCATTTTAACAGCAGCACAATCGATGACAGCGATCGACGAATAAAAGCATCACACTGAATTGTTACGCAGATGTTATTGCAAAGAAATGCAAAATTTAGCCTGTTCTACAAAACTTAAGGAAGCTTTGATTGAGTAAGTTTAGGAGATTAAATCTGCTGAAGAAAACTTTGAGATTCAATAAATTAGAAGTTATCTGACTAGGAAAGAATTCCAAATCGCAGTTGCGATTTGGAACGACATATCACTGAATCAGTGGCATACCGAGGTCGCGAAATTTTTGAAAGTTACTTATATGGGTTATAAGAATGTGCAAGTGACTTGTTTATTTTTGTAAATAATTAAAATAATTCTTAAAAATTTTTAAAAATTCAAATTAGCATTGTAAAAAAATTTTTTTCTGGAGGCGTGGCTGACGTCACGCCCCCTTTTTCCAGATTTTAGGGGTCGGGGACCCGCAAAAGTTTTGAGAAGCATCCCCAGATTTTTTTCGGTGTGCGTGTCTAACGCCACGCACCTTCTTTAGAAAAAATTTTTTTGTCGCTTCCCCCCCCCCGAGCCGAAATCCTGGGTACGCCACTGCATTGGATGCGCTTTGTTGAGCTTAAGCCAAATCTGTCCTCCTCAATTGCTGCGGAGTTCCGTGAAAAAAGTATGACCGCTCAAAGGTCTAATTATGGCTCACGTCAACCTTTCGAGGATTAGTTGTTCAAAAGTTTATTCATGTTTTTGATCAGTGTGTGCATATTGTAATCAGCACACTCAAGGTCTTCCCAATTATGCGCCCCCAAGCCGTTTTCAGACCTACATCACGCATTAAGACCGAATGACTTCACACTTTTTACCTCTCTTATTTTCCTCCAGAGAATCCTGCAGCAGATGCGGAAGTCAGATCTGGAATCAGCTCATCAAGAAGCATCTAATATGTATTTCATTCCACTTTTCCACTGCGATTTGAGATCCTTTCCCTGCGAGACAAAATTGACAGGTCTACCAGTGTTCTTGCACTGCGTGCCACTTCTATCATGAAGACGGTTATGTGTTATTTTCTAAAATGAGTAATGTTTGTCGAATGTAGGTCGTGTGTACAAAACGTATCATTGGTATTTACAGGTAAATCTTCGTTGAAAAAATGTCGAGGCATGGAGTTACAAGAACTTTAGCGGAACTTCAATAAAGCGCAGCATAGAAGATTACAACCAAATGCTATGCCTCGTATGCGCGTACATATCTGCTGATGAGAGTAAGGGATATGCTTTAAAATCGAGTCGAACGATTATTCGACAATTCGAAAAGATCACTCGAATGCGAATGATTCGAGAATTCGAATATTCGAAAATCTCAACTTTCAATATTATTCGAAAGTCGACTATGCGATGGTCATCAATTCGATCACTCGATGCCCATCGAAGATTCAAATATGAGTACCGAATGCTCAAAAAAATCGATAAGTATCGATTACTCGAACGTTCGATGAGCATCGAATATACAAAAACTCCATATCCATAACGTATACGGGGTGCCCAGGAGTATTTACGCACTGTTTGAATGATACCTTTTGCTAACCTTTGGGTAACATCCTGAGGGATGGTTTTAGCTCACATATATAATAAAAAGCTAATCACCCATGCTTTTCTTATGTGATCACGTCAGGAACTTCCAGCATATAGAGCAGCTTCGAAATAACACATCCATAATAGATAAGAACTTCCCAAGTCCTAGCAAGAAAGGTACATGCATTAACAGTAAACCCAGATTCCTCCAAAAACATATAAAAATAGCAGTTTTTATGCATGCTTATTCTACTACGCACGTGTTTTCCAGCTTTCCAAATGTGGAATCACATTTTTAATAGGCGTTGGAAAACATTTATTACGGTGTACCTGGCATGAGTTGTGGAAAAAACAGGTTGAGTGTATGACTGTCTATAGAAGTTTAGCATGATATTTTTGGCTTCAATTCTCTCTCTTAGGCAAAAAAGGGCTTGGCGATCGATAGTCTTCCATACTGTAAGTCTGAGTTGAGGTCAGCCTTGTACTTTTGAAATCGCTACATCAATCCACAATTCTGAAAATTGTTGGGGGGGGGGGGGGGGGTACACAATCTTTTTTCGAAGTTCTAGTTCGCTTCGCAACCGTCATAGGAGTATGCTTCTAGGTTCGCAAATCTCTTGACGTCACCACGAAGCCGTTTGTTTATGTACATTATAACATGAAAAAGCTTCCATTCTTAATATTTACACGAAACCATTATTGTTAGGTGTTTTGGTCTCTCATAGCCAGTCATCTCATTGACATCAATTATTAGAGATATTCGAAAACCGAATAATATTTGAAATTCGAATAACGAATGATATTCGATATTCGACTATTATTCGATAGTCAAATACTCGAAAATTTCGGTTTTCGAATATTATTCGATATTCAGATATTCGAAAGAAATTTCGCATTTTCCAAAGTATAGTAAGAGAGCTGTGGAGATAGGTTTCTTAGCTTTGTATTTTTTATAACTCTTGTTTATTACTCACTTTTTGGAGGCTCTACTATTTTGATACCCTACATAAGTAATGGCAGAGCATTGGCATGCAAGCTGATTTACCACTAATTTGCGTGATTCTCAAAATACCACTGCTAATCTAGAAACCAGTTTCCTTCAATGTGGATGAAGTGGATTGTAACCCGCGCGGAGGACCTCTTGTGGCAGTATTAAGCGTTTTCGATGGGATAAATAAAAAATGGATGTTCTGAGCTTTCCGATAAATCCCGACAGACGAGCGATGGTTCATTAAAGTTTTCGCTATTTGAAATTACAGATATCTGCATAAATAAAGCATGCCTGTGTGTGTCTTATATGTTTATTTCGAATATAAATTTCTATACCGACGAACCCAACGGCTTGCAGACCTGGACGGGAAAGAGGTGTCGCAGGCTACTTTTCGTCATCAATCGATATCGATCTTATCGATTTTTTGCAAAATTTCATCTACGAGGCGTTGACACGGTGGAGGGAAGGGGTAAGTGAACGTGCTTATCAAGGAAGCGTCATTAAGAGCATCGAGTGGAGCTACGTTAACCAAACAGTTTCTACTGTAACCATGCATAGTACTGTCGCAGTAGATCTACTGCAAGGGAAGTTTGCTTAGTCGAAGTGGCGATTCGGAAGGAGTTTTATACCAGTGGATAGAGCTTGAAAAGCTGATCTCAGATATACCTTCTATATCTGCGATGCGTCGTTCTGAAAAAAGTTATGAGCTTTTCTAAAGCCAAATTTTCGTGCATTTTGAGTCGCAAAATCATGATAATAATTACACAAAAATGTGCAAGCTTGAGCAAACCACCTAATAAGCATTGTAGGTCGAAGTCCAGTTTATCCGAACGCTAACGAATGTTATTCGACCGTGTTGTTCATCCACAGGTTGTCAAGTCGTTCCTAGATCACACTTCCATTATGTATACAAAAAAGCCCCATAACCTCCATCTAGAAAAACGCGACGCATAGCAAACTTTTTGGAAACTACCAATGGATGGGACGTAAAATATGCTCTCAAATATATCTTCAATATCTGCGACGCATTCTTTTAGATGGAGGTTATGGGCTTTTTTGTATATATAATGGAAGTGTGATCTAGGAAGAAAATGACGGCCTGTGAATAAACAACATGGTCGGAAAACACTCGAAAACGTTCGGATGAACTCGAATAAGACCTAAAATGCTTACTAGGTAATTTGCTTGAACTTGCACACATTTGTGTAGCGATTATCATGATTTTGCGGCTCAAAATGCACAAAAATTTGGTTTTAGAAAAACTCATAACTATTTTCAGAACAACGCATCGCAGATATAGAGGGTATATTTGTGACCAGCTTTTTAAGCTCTATCCAGCGGTATAGATCTCCTTCCGAATCGCTACTTCGACTAAGTGAACAAGCTTTCGAAGGATGAGCAGAAGAGTTGTTCTCAAAACACTATAGGCCGTGCCCTTAGAGCTCCTACTCTCTCTCTAAAGAAATGTGCGTAAAACGATTCCTACAGTTTATGCTTGCACAAATTGAGGATATAATTTGATAACCGTGATAATTTAATACCTACTCTACAATCTCTTAGACTTAACTAGTCTCAAAAATTTTCTCATGGTCATCTTGAAGCGCTTAACTGTTTAACTGCTCATAACGAGTGGATGAAGCTTATATCTGACGAAGCCACACTCACACGATATTTGTGCGTCAGTCTTTATTTCAAATTTTTGAGATTCATTTTACGGATACATTTCACAAGACGAGCATGGGCGATATTGAAAGTTTTATTTGCGCCCAGCTATGTCAAGTCGTGTTTCGTGGAAGAGATTTGAAAACCACCAGTAACTGTTACATATTTGCATTCAGTGTTTGAGAACGCATTTATCATTTATCATTTTTACGATTCATCTAAAGGCCGTAATTCGAATATTATTCAACTAAAGTGCTGAACATAGCTATAAAGCCGCCTTGGAATGTGTGTGTAATTCAAAGTTATCACTTTATCTAGGCGGCTCATTCCATTCATTTTGGCCGAAGAAATATTGAAAAATTGAAAAAAAACGTGTTCAGACGGTAGGCACAGCAATACCATCTCTTGTTTTCAAACATTATTATGTTCTTTGAACCGAGAATTTTTCTGTGAAGTTACAGCATCAAAATATGAAAAATTCGTG